TGTTTAAACTTCATTAAATTCCTCTTTTAAGATACTATACAGAAACGCTGTGTCAGAGCCCAAGTTGAAGTGCCCTGGTTACAAGATGAGTCTTTCTTCCTTTCACTCTTCACATCTGTTGTTGTCCTGACCTTTAATTTACTGTATGTTTTCTTTATAAAGGCAGCGTTGCATCCTATCATCATTTCTGGAGTAAATGAACTCTGAGAGCACGATCTGTTCAAAGAGTGCGATATGGTAATTTGCACATTTTGTTAACTGATTTGCAGTCTCGGGGCCAAATCCTGTGATCCTGTGCAAATCTAACAGTGAGTGGAAACAAAAACAACGGAGAGCAGGAGGCAGAGCCGTTCCACTCTGGCGCAACCCAGACCCCAGGCCCCCAGGGGAGACAGGCCCAGTATAAACCTTCTGCCAAGTGACTTGCGCAAATTCCCATAACTCTGTGGATCAGCAGAAAACTAAACCTGAGTATCACAAATGCCAAAATAATGATCTAATCACTGGACCATGTGTCTCCTATTTAACTTGGCTTTAGAATTTGCACTCTGCAGAAGTGAATAGGACAGTTCACACATCCAACTACTGTTATTACAGGTGTCTAAAGACTTGAGCACACATTGATGCATTGGTTTAAACTCATTTCACATTTCAAAGGTTTTCTTTGTGATCAAAGCGGCTAGAGACTTTTTTATAAATGAAAGCAGAGGTTTTGAGACAGAGGATAGAGCCACCACAGAAAAGAAAAGGCTTGGAGAGAGGAGGGGCACTGGGAGACAACCCAAAGCAGTCTTTTCATTCTGGTCTGAATTTGCAAGACTGTGCTGGGAAGACGAATAGCTTCCTGTTTTCTAGGTCTGTCTAATCAGGAAGGTTCTGAAATGCAACTGCAACTACAATGCATCTGCAAACACTTCTAATGGTTCTAAAGAATGATTTTTCAGAAGAAAAGTCTGCTTCAAACAAGCCATATTATAATTGCCTTGTACTGTTATGCCGTCATTACTCGCAGTTACAGCATCAAAGACCAACATTTTATATTCTGGCAGCGGCAATCTGACTATTTGTGTTTACCTGAACTAGTTCGCTTACACAGAGCTTAGTCATTGTTAAATTTGATTATAATAATAACATCAGAACATCGTAACTAAATGCAGTTTTTACAGGAAATTAACAGAAATGCAGCTTCACTAAAAGAATGTTCAAGCTGAACACAAAGCTGGTATGGACAATTTGAAGTGGAGGAATAGTCAGGGCACAGACAAAGTCATGTCCTTGCTGTGCTGTGCAGGCTTTGAGTCAAGCATCGCACAGTTGATGCCCTTTATCCAATGATTCTTTGCAGCAAAATGCAGAGTGACCATAGGCAGCAGGGACCAGACTCCAGGACACTGTCTTCCTGCCTGAATCCCCTTCTCACTGGGCTGCCAAGCGTTTGCTGTCTGGCCGTGTATATTCTTGGAATAGCGGGCAAGTTTCATGAGCAGGGAGGAAGCAAGCCTCATTGGGACCCTGCCTGTGCCAGACCAGGGACCGCTCACCCACTCCCTGGAGGATAATCTCAAGGATGCAAAAGGTGGCAGCTGCTGCCTCCTCCTCCTCCTCTAAGCCTGCCTGTGAGGAGCTGGCCTTTACGGTGGTAGTACTGTGAATCAGGGGGGGCATTGTGCCTCAGTTCCTCCTAGACAGGATTGGATCTGAGCAGCAGGTTCCCTCTCTCAGGTTGGTGCATGGGTGCCAGCTTTTGCGGCTGATTTGGAGCCTCCTCGTCTCTGTTCGGGGAGGAGCTACTATATCATTTGCACGCTTGTTAGGCTTAAATCTTCCGAAATGTACTGCAGGACTCTCATGTCGCATTCTAGGAGATTTATGGGCTTCTGTCATAAGGGACGTGAAAGAAACCGTATTAGGTGCAAGGATTTTGTTGGGCTCCGGTATTAGCCTGCGCTTTCCTGATCACAGTCACATGAGGAAAACACCGGGTAAAAAAGGCTTGGCTCAGGGGATAAAATACTACTGCCTCTCCCCTCCCCGTCTGAAGCAAATCCTGATTCATCAGAGCAAATTCCTGTTTTGATCAGTGCAACAGTTTCAGCATTTCCTTCATCCAAGGTTTTTTTAAACTGAAATTATGTATGTGACTCTCTGCACTTTGTATTCAATTGCTCTCCTTTCCAGCTATCACCCTCGCTCTGGAGCTAAGGTGGCCTTGTGCAGAGCTAAGGTCCCTAGCCCAGTAGTAGAAGAGCTCTTCTCTAACAGATCCTGACAGTTGTTTTTCACGGGTAGCATCAAGACGATCTGGAAAGATACTAAGCAAAGAGAAAGAGAAGATTCGGATGCTGTCAGAAGATGTCAGAGTGTTTGTTTATTTGTTTTAATTGTTGCAAAGGATGTTCTGGGTCATTAGTCGCAATTCAGGAAGATTTAAGCTAAGGCCACTTTAGCCCAGCTGGAGAGAATAGCTCAAGCTGTTTGCCTCCACATGTGGTTCGTATAGGTGCAGATGTTCATTTGGATGCCTTGAACCAATGTTTGTTCTATCCCCTTGGAAGCTTTACAGTTCTACGTGTCTAAAGTGAGTGAGCGTTGTGGTAAAGAGAAGGGACAGATCCACGAAATTCACAGCCTCTGAGGGTGATGGTTTAAAGCATGACCCTACCTTAGCTTCAGGGAGCTGGGAAAGCTATTATTTTATCAGGAAAATAATAATTGACTACACCCATCAACACTCCTTTGCTGTCTGACTGCTCATTGACTATTTACTGGTCAGATGGTGTGTTAAGGCTAATTTGTAACCTGAGTGCTATATTGGTAGGGATGTGCCTGTGGCTTTGAAGTCTACCAGAGTGTTGATTTGTAGGGCTGTGTTGTTTACCTTTAGAAAGGGCAGAATTACACTGCAACAACAAGAGTGCTCAGAAGGCAGGGTCAGCGGCTGTCATTCGTTCCCTAGAGTCCCATTAGTTAGGCCTTCGTGCCATAGCTTAGGCCAAATGTTCTCAGATGTTTTGTATCCCAGGAACTTCCTGCTGTTTTAGGAGAAAAGCGAGTCAAGATGACTCCCTGGATTCTTATTTGCAATGCTGCTGGTACGAGAATCCCTCACCCCAGATTGTTTTAGGCAAGTGGTTTGTGAAAAACCTGAATATCCAAGTACAGTTGTAAAGAGTGCTGTACAACCCTAATGAGCTTAAACGTTTGTGTAATCCTTAAGTTTAGTACATCCTGGCAGGTTTCCCTGAATAAATGAACTTTTTAGCTAGACCCAGCCACAAGAATCAATTGAATGAGTTAAGCAGAATTCGGCCAGTGTCCATTCTGGTATTCATTCTTGCGTGTGTGACTCTAGGCCTGCATGATTGTGATTACCATTACATCTGTTAGGTAAAATAACTATTTTTCCCTTTTAAGTCCCTAAGAATCTCTAACGTAATTTATGAAAATTCATTGGTTAATTTTTTTCTCTTTTTTCTCTACCTCCAGCCGCCTTTTTGCACATCTGTCCTTATAGACTTGTTAGGACTCAACAGATATAAATGAGGAGGTGCGGCAAAATATCAAGGAACCTCTTTAGGACTTTGTAGGTGATTAGCCAGAATGCTTTATAACTGATTTTGTGGAGCAGGATAGTTTGGCCCTTGGCATTTGTGATCTATGAACTTGCCACGAGTGCCTCAATCTGTTGCAAAAAGCAGTGGCAAAAAGGTTTGATTTTCTTCAGCAATACTAGTTCAAGCCCTGTATTGCTCCCCAGATCTCTCCTTAGGATGGAAAAGGGGTAAAAGATGGTTTTCCTAATAGTTAAAACTAACCTATCAGTTTCATTTTCATACACCTTTAGGATAGCTATTTGCCTGATTTCTTTGTGTATTTTTCAATTTTACCTAAATGTGGCTCCATTTTTTCATCATCTTCATTCTGTGCTTGCTCCAAATCCATACACCGGATACCATGAGATTAAAATGTTCTCCTAAAGTACAGAAGCAGAAGGGGCTTCTGCGAGGTGCCGGTGACAGAGCCTTTCGAAGGGACGCTGGGGCAGGGAGAAGCGTGCCCTCGGCACTGTCAGCCCCGAAGCGCTCCGAGTGCTGCTCTTTGCAAGGAAGGTTTAATAAACAAACAGCACAACACGCATCTGACAGGCTACAGCAGCTGAACAAACAGACAAGGGTATAATTTATCCCTTTCTCTGTTTTTTCTGTGCCTATTTAATGAATTAGCTAATACGGTGCTTAGTGTGTGATGCCGGTTATGACAGAAGCTGCTTTGCACGTTGTTTTTAGCTTGGTTTAACTGAGAAAAACAGGAGAGAGGGCAAGAGGCTGAAGAGCTGGAAATGACTTAGCACAAGAAAAGGCAAATGGGATGAAGGAGAAGAGAGAAAGGCCATCATCACTAATGACTGCGTGATATAGACACATCCCAGACACAAGGTCCCTAATGATCGGGTCCAGGCTTTAATTATTTGTGCCTTGGTTACTGCAGCGTCCTTTTCTCTGCGTTTGACCGTGAAGCTTTGTCTCACTGTAGCCATGCAGAAGGCGGACTGTTTTCCCCGCCGCCCCGGTCACAGCCTCTCCCATGGGTGTCGTCTCCCAGTGAGAGGTGACAGATCAGCTCCGGCCCAGAGCAGCCCCGGACACCAGCTGACTTTGCTACATTTGCAAACACGGTGCCTTCCCTCAAGGTGCCTTCACAGCTTGGGGACACATCTCCAAAATGTTTGTTGCTCCCCTTCACGTTGCTCCTTAAGACTCCTGCTGCCTACAGAAAGTAACTAAGATTTCGGCTCCTCATGTGGTGCGACCACGACCTGTCGTCTTGCCTGATGCTGTCTCCTTGCTCCCTCTCTCCCTTCCCCCATGTTAGATCTGGTTTTGGGGTCGAGGCCATCTTTTTGCTATTTGTTTGTAAAGGATTTATTAGAATGTGTTTAGCTCCTGGGACAAAGGCTTCTAAACACTATGCTAATGCGAATGGTAAAAATATATGAAAAACTGATATTCAGGATCAGCTTTTCCTTGTATTTTGGTCATGTATTTCTTGGTAAATATGATATCAATAACGCTCGCTCTTCCTTCCCGTTTAGATGATGACCTCTAGGGTCATCAATACTGAATGCTTTTTGATTTCACGTGGCAGAAGGGGCCCCTGAATCCAACTGAGATCACCGCTATTTCTGTGTAAGTGCTTCTGCAGTAATTGTGACTGAGAATCATGCGGTGGAACTCTATGGAGGGCTGAAAAACCGCTACCTACGAGGAAAATCAGAAAAAGAGTTTCCTCCTTAAAATGAATTTATCTGATTTCTGTCTTCTGCAGATATACAGATTGAGGCTTAACTGCATGGAGTAGTTTTTTATTGTTTCTGTCCAGGAGGATGAAGCAAAGATTCTGATTTAATAAGTGATGTGTTTGAGACATGGTTGATGACAAGCAATCATTGATTTACCCAGTTCTAGTTTTCAAACACAGCAATTGTTTTCCTATTTTGTGGCCACTGCCTCTGAAACTATATCATGTGTAAGTACTCTGAATATTTTATATTGCCATGCTTCTTTCTGCCCAGCTTTCTCCCTCTTCCTTTTTCAATCAGCCTTTTTAATGGCCTTTTTTTGGATTGTTTTGTCACTCTAAAAGAGATTGACTGAGCAAATAATGTTGCTCTTTTGTTGATTGCCTTGCTGTCAGTTAAATACTATTCCAATATAATAGGTAAGTTATTATTTCTAAGATAGGTTTGCTGTTGCATCTTTTCTATTCCTTTGGAAAAGGGAAGTTATCTCAGAAAAAATTATATTTGGTTGGAAGGAAGAAGGTACTATGCGTTTGAAACCTGTGAGAATAGTTTATTATCAGTTCAGGGTAATACATCCTTTAATTAACTAAAGAGGAGATTTTCAAAGGCAAAAATATGTGTTAGGAGCCTAATGTCCTCAGTGGTGTCTTTTTTGTTCTCACAGCTGTATGATTTTGCCGTTTTTTGACTGTTGATGGAGTGATATAATAAATGTATATTTTGTCTATTTAATCTATATTGCATTTTCCTTATTTTCCATAGAAGGAGAAGTCCAAAGCATACAAAGAGAATGGGAGCACTCTAACAATCCTTTTTCTCGTAAGTAAGTGACCAAACACGCTTTGCCAAAGTTTAAGAACTGTGTAGTTGCTCCGCATTTCCCATGATGAATTGGAACAGAATATGGGTCTCCATTAGAAGTATGAATTATTATGTATTTGTCACACCTGAAAGCTTACTTGATATATGGGTAAAGATAACTGTTTCTTGATGGGCACAGGTCCTTGAGTTTTAGCACTTGAAGAGATTTATGGATAGTTGCCTGAGACAGCACAAAGTCTTTGTTTGGAGCAATGTGTTTTTACAATGTATGCATTCAGGTAATAGGCCTGATTTTTGTATTCAAGGGACACCCAAAACTAATGTTGTAATCAATAGAAAATGTCAGCATCTCTGAGAATCATTGCCCAATAAAAGAAGTGTGTGGGATTTTCCTTTTAAAATGAAGAGATCAAGAAACAGAGCTCAAGATCAAAGATAGAGAAAAAGAACTCCCTCAATTCTTCTTTATTTTTCACAAAACAAGACCAGTTCACCACTGTTTTTACAATTTATAGCACTTTTAAATGTGGAGAATGAGCAATGACAAGGAAAATTCCCAGTCAGAGGCGCTGCATGTGGGAGGAAAAGAGCTGCTTGATTTCAGGCCGAAAAGGTAGGGGTTAAGTGACAATCTGAAAACAGCTGGGGCTCATTCTAGAAAAATCAGCCTGGTACACTTATTTATAAGGAAGAGGAGCAATATTAGAGGGGGTGATTCCTGCTTCTCTTCAAGAAATGCTGTGATAATAGCTTTGGTGGAGTTTAAGTCTATGACTAGCCTGTTGTCAAAAAGAGGTAATAATAGCATTAAAAAAAAAAAGTTTTCTGCTTTTGGGTTGCCTGTATGATATTACCCCGCCTCACAATAAAATCAAAGGAGGCTTCTGAGAGGTTTTCACAGGGAGTGAAACAGTGGTTGAAACAGTGGTAAAAACAGTGCTCTGATAGGGAGATACCTCCTGCTTGGGTCAAAACAACCTGGATCGACTGTAGTCTTTCCAAATCAATATCCAGGATCATAAGGGATATAAAATTGTAGATCTGCGGACCTAAGGAAATAGTAGGAGCGATCAGAGTAGAGTGTATATATGCAAGTGACTAAGAAAATGTGCTGTGGGCACAATGCTGTGCTTCTCAAATGAGGAAATGGTGGTCAGCAGGATGAGGGAAGTGAAAGCACTGGTCTGTGAGCTCTGTCTTGCAGCCTACGTGATGGGTAACTAATATCTAATCTTTGGTTTTAACAATTTTCAGCCATTTTTAATCCCAGTTGGCTCTCTGAGAAGGGCTTCCTGGTCTCAGACTCCTTTGGGACTTCTGTTAACGCAGCCTAGAGAGCCAGCTAGAAAGTGGTGGGACTCTGCAGTCCTGGGGAGGTGCAGCAAATCACCTTCCTCTTTTGCAGGGTGCACTCGCAGGATGCTGGAGAAAGGAGAGGGACCCCCAGCTTCTGCTGTGTAGTAGGTTACAGACCCCATTTTGCTTTTCCCTGAGGAAATAGGAGACTATCTGGGGACAACCTAAGAATCTTTCTAGAAGCAAATTGCTGCCCTGTTCAAGACCCAAGATGCTACATCAGAGTTCAAGGTGGCAGAGCACTCCTATTCCCTTCCAAACCACTGTGGGAGTAGGATACGTAAAGCCTTATTTTATAACTGACTGCTAAACAAAATTTAATTTGCCATGTAGGAAGGATGAGGTTTTTTTATTGGGACAAGATAGCAGACAGATTAAGACCAGCTCTGTTGTGCGTGAGTGTAGGGATTCTATGTAAATAAGCTATTAAAAAAAAAAAAAGGAGGTGGCAACTGGATATAAGATGTATTGCAATATCTTTCTAATATAAAGAATACTACATATTACCTGCTGGGAAGGACTTTATTTAGCGTATATGAGTTACAGCTTTGCAAATGCGCCATGGAGGCAACTTCTGTCAATGTGGCAGAGAACTGCTGGATTTTGCATGAGGCTTTCTTTCTGTTTCTTGCCTGCGTTTGCAAAGCCAGCAAAAAGAAAGCAATCTTTGTAACTTATAGGTAACCCTGTGTGTAGAAAATCCTATTTGTTACTACTGCACCAAGTTAAATGCTAATTGCCCGCCACAACTTTTTTTCAAATATAAGCCTGTGTCTAACCACAGTGTGGCACTAATGGTATAAATGCAACAGAACACAGAAGAAACTTAAAACAGTAGCTACATAATCATCTTCATAAATGTAATATTAAAAAGTTACAACACCTTAAAATTTTAGTTCTGCTTGCATAAGGCAGGGCTTCATAACAAATAATTGTCACAACTTCTCTGATAGAAGTACAGCTTGTGGCTGGTTTAACTAAAATGACTCTTTCGCTCTCCTGTTCTACTAGCTGCCAGCAACTGCTTGTCTCACTAGGGCTCTTTTTGTGCTGCTATTAACAATCTGCTATACACTAGATTAGGGTCATTAACCACTCATTAGCTCCTGAAAGAGGAGGGACACCTCCTTCCTGTATATTGAATATTGATAAGGAGGCAACAGAGCCTGCCAGTCTGAAAACACCATGGAAGATGCTCAACTTCTGAAGCTTTATGTCTGTATTTTTTTCATAATGGTCTGGATTAAATCTGCCATGGCTTCTTTCCTTTTCATGCCCTGCTTTATTGTTTGCTTTCTTTGTCTTTCCTCTTTTGTAGAGGATCAAGCACCAAGTAGGGCTGACCAAATAATAAACAAAAATGTGTTGTCATCCACAGCCTCTTGCAGGATGGCGAAGTCTGACAGCTTAGCTTTGCTATCCCTCATGGGCAAGTACGCTTCCTTTGCCCCCTCCAATTCATTGCAAGAGTAATGTGTCTTGTCCTGCTGCCAATACTACCACAATGGATTACCGTGCTTCTCTGAATAGAGATACTGGTGAGTAATTTTCATCTCTGCTGAAATTAATTCATACCTTTTTTCCCCAGTTTTGCATCAGAATCAAGTAACCTGACTGATTTAGAGTCCAATCTTGTAATCTTTAAATATATAAAACCCTTCCAAAGACAGCTTTTTGAAATTGGTCACATAATGGTAAATTCTGTTGAAGATGACCTTGAGGTAGTCACTAAAAAGCTGATAAAAAACTGTTTAAGTTTTGCTCTGATAAAATAATAACTGTTGTTAAAAAATTAAACAATCGAAACATTGTTTCTGTATTAAAAAGCCTCATATATTGTATCTTAATATGTGCCTTAATCCAAGCCTGACTGTACATAATAAGCTTGTAATTCCATTGATTCATTGATGGTGAGAGAGGAAACACTTGTAAATCTCAGATGGACTGTGTGCAAGAAATGGGATGTGTGATGAACCTGCTTCAGTGTTGCATCTTTTTGGTAGTTTCACTGTGTCACTGTCCTGATGCTTGTTCTTAGGATATTATTTCAAGATTACCAGTTTTTCTCACTCTCCTTGAAGTTTCATACCTTGTTTGGTATGAAAAAAGCCAGTTATATTTTATAGATGATTCCACAAGTTCTGGCACTGCTTTACTTGTTAGCCCCGGTGTCCTGTGCGTTATGCAATGATGCTGATTTGCGGGGATGTACACCTGGGTAAAGTGGTCCTTGGACTGATTACCACACAAAAGCCTCCCCCAGTAACCTATGTTACTGTTTCTGTAAGTGTGTTTCTCAGACAAAATTCCTCCAGTAAGTTTTCCTATGTTGGCTATAAGAATTTTATGGGGATTCACATTTTATGGTAGGGCACACATGCATTGTATCATGTAAAAAAAAAAAAAAAAGAACTTTTGATATGAAGTTAGAAGTTTAAATTTAGTATTTAATAAAAGTGTGAAGTGAAGATACATATATATTTTTATATAAAATATGTGTATGTATATACATGAGGAGAATGTTACAGTTAAAAGAAGCAGAAATGTTTAACAGTAGGAAATAATGGTGAAGGAAAAGTAAATTGCTCCTAAACTCACCTCACGCATGCACACACAGAACTTACAAGGCCAAAATAGTCCATTTTTTAATTAAGATATGATCCTCTACTACTGAAGTCAGTGACAAAAAAAAATCCATACTTTTTCAGTGAGTGATGGTTCAACGCCTTAAAAAAGTTCTTGAGCAATTCTATCCTATCTTTTCTATTACCGGTTTTGGAAAATGAAACAAGTTCTCTTAAACCTAGTTTTCAAAATGGAGATTTCTCATATGAGCTATTCTCTTCCCATCTTTTATAGCTCAAAAATCAGCATTGTGGATTATGGGCTAGATATATCATCTCACCTGCTCCCTGCCATCTAGGGAGGCCAGGGTTGTGTTTACCTTTTTGACAGATACCACTGTAGTGAAGAGAACAACCTGCTTTTTTGGTTTGTTCTCCATTGAGTACTCCAGAAAATGCAACTTCATCTATATGCCAGCCAGAAAGTGGATCTGCTTATCTAGTAATTTCCTCATTATATCCAATTCAATATCTTGCCACGCTGTCCTGAGGCAACCCTGTGATCATTTCTCCATCCCATCCATGCTAACTGCCTCTCTTTGCTCATAAAAAGTAATTATCAGATTCATACAAAATAAGTTTTGCTTTGTTGAGCATTTAAGTCTATCCTTGTGATGCAGACTCTTATTTTCCTTCGGAGAAAGTCCCATAACTTTTTGGAAATATCTGTACCATTGTATGTGGTTTTTTTTTTTTTTTGAGGAGTAATATGAGTGGTGTTAAGGCATTTGCTGTTAGATAAGTGTTTCTTGTTTCTCAGTCTCAAAGAGTTTGGATAGAAACCATAATGCTTTAAAATAGGTGGAGCTCTGAGTTAGATTACTGCAGTGACTGGGAGATGTTATGGACTTCTTGGACAGTGCATGGTATCTAGGAAGAGTGGAATATAGTCTTGTCTTGAACGTTAAACAAGACTGTGATCCTGAGAAGTTTATTTCCAGATTCAGAGCTAGGAATACAGGTTGTATTTTACCAGATGCAGGGGGTTTCTCATTGGTACAGCGCTCACTGGTTGGGCCTGTTTAACACCCCGGTCCCTTCTAACTCAGACTGTGCGCCTTATGTGCCATATGCTTGTATCTGTGTGGAAACAGTTGTGTCTTGAAGCAAAAGATCCCTGGTTCTTCCAAACCAAGCATGCTTTCTATGATTCGAACTTATTTGAGTTCTTTATTAGCTGGGAAATGTAAATTATATAAGCATTTGAGTCTCCAAGGACACTGGGAGGAAAAAAAAGGATCCTGGTGTGTGCCAAAAGACACAGATGCGAGGAATCAGCCCCATGGCATGATTCCCAGCGGATGGAGGTGAAAATGGGGTGCAGCTGAGAGATGGCCTTGGGTGCAGTAGCATGGTCCTGCAGAGAGGACCAGGAATCTTAAAGGAGCTGAGATCTTTTGGATGCTGGGTTCCCTAGACCCATGCTGAGGGCTGTTAGCTCCCCAAGGACCACAGTTTCTCCTCTTTGCACAGTGGGCTGGGCAACCTCTTCCTTTTGCTTTTCTGTAGGAGTTGAGCCTGAAAGAGACCTCCCTTTGGGCTGGCAGACAGTGAAATTACCCTGAGCTCTCATATTCCTTCACCTCCTACTACCCCCTACAGAGGTCCACATTTATCAATGTGGACATATACACACAAGTGCGAACTATATACATACCTGGATGCAAAAGTTTTAACTTTGTCTGCAACACTTTATGCAAGCTCTGTGTACCATGTCTACAAAGAAATGAAGTACTACAGTGTTCAGATAGGAGATTTTGTGTAACAGGGTTAACATTTAAAATTAAGGCAATGTTAGTGACCTGAAACTCAAAACCAGCATGACAATTGTCTTCAGATTGTAGCCCCCAAACTCTTTTGTGTTTTGTTTTCAAAATAAACCTGACAATTTTCAGTGTAAGCTGTTTTTTTGTTCCCTAGTCAAAATTGTATACAGCTAAAAATAGAGTTTATAATAGAAATTGCAGCTTTAACTATGGGGCCTTCAGCATGGCTCCATTATATTGCAGTTCTGTTAATTAAAATGAGTGGGGAACAAACATAATAGGATTGTGCTAATAAAGCATGAAATGAACAGTGTTACCTTAAGACGGTTTTCTATCTATTTTTCCTCATTCCATGAGCAGTTCTTTGTCTTCCCCAAAATACACTGAACTTGAGGGAAGGATTTAAAAAAAAAAAAAAGGAAGGAAAATTTCCAAGCCAGGATCCATTGTCATTCTGGCATCCTCTGATTTGTCACATAATTGTTTTTCTGCATTTTTTCAGGCAGAGGGAGGGCATACAATGAGCACAGTTGAATAGGTGCTTCATGTTGAATTCAGACTGCCGGGTGCTTCAGACTGAATCACTAGGGCTGCTGCTGGATTAATAGCTTTTTTTCTGTGTGCTTCCAGGAAAATTTGTACTGAAAAATAACTTTCGCTTCTTACCGTAAACCTAGAAGAGTTCTAAAATAGTCTATGGTGTTGCGAGTCTACAGTACAATTTGTAGACTCCTAATGCAGAAGCAAAACTTTTATATTGTATGACTGCACCAAGATAGAAAATATAATCTGTTTCTGAATTAAATTTTAAAACATGCAACAGCAGAACAGATCCTGAAGCTGCAGGCAGTGTTAGACTTGATGCTTCAAGCATAATATTATGCCCACAGCATTAATTTTCTTTTGCATAGGTGTACTGTATAAAGCCTCATTCTTCATATACAATCTGTGCACATAAAATGTTTATACACGCAGTTCCACCAATGAACTGGAGCATTTATGAATGACATTTAACTGACCTCAGTTCTTCCTAGGACTGGTTTTAACAAATGCAGCTCGCTCTGGACAATAATGGCTGAATTAAATGCCACTTAAAATATTAAATTTCTGTAATATTTCCAAGTATTTTATGTTAATATGAACATTATTTATATGAATATTGTTTTTAAAAGAAAAAATAATGCAGCTGTCATGTTTAAAGAAAGAGAAAGTTCATGCACAAGTCAGTCTATGCATTTTTCAAGAAAGAGAATCCAAAAGTGAAAGCAGAACACCAGGTTTAAATGGGCATGTTTGCCCAACGTTATCGAGAGTCCACGGGACCTATGCCATTACAGTAGCCAGCACAGCTTTCTAACGGGTTATAAAGTCCTAGAAATCAAAACAGAGGCGAGATGTAAAGTATGTTAACTTCTGTCGCTTGCATTGGCTCAGAGAGACACCGTGGTGGAAATGAAAAGTAATATTCTGAGTAAACCAAAATGACAGAGCACACGTTGCAAAGTGCTGCTCAAGCATATAAAGTGCAATCCAGTTACTGCTCAAGTGAAATATTCTCCTAACAGTAATGGCCACTGGCCTTGCACTGAGGTAGCGTCTGCTCAGAACAACTCTGTGCAAGGACAGAGTTCTTTGCAGAGTTCAGAGAAATTTCTGATAATACAAAAAAAATCATTAGAGCTAGTAAGGTGAAATTTTTGAGCGTAGCTGGTCTGGAAATAGTGCGATCAATTCATCTTAAACTATTGCTAAAAGGAAACAAAAATATATTTCTTGGTGCGATTTTCCATAGCTGAAGTGATGATAGAGTTAAAAATGTATTGGCTTTTTGATAGCCGTTATTAGATGAAATGCTATCAGGAATCTTCAGTTCTGAGGTGATCTTGTGCGTTGTGCAAGGGAAATGAAAAATCTCAGTGTACGTTCTCATGTCTTACATACTGAAAATAAGTGTAATGATGTACTCGGAGCTAAGAGTGGACGTTCTTTTCGTGTTTAGATTAAAAAAACAAACTCTGATCATTTTCAGATTGTGACGTATTTAAAAACAATGAAAAATAGCTTGGAGAAAGATTTTCATCTAAATTATTAATGAGTCTTCCTGTATTTTTCTGCTGCTCAAACTGAAATATGTGAATACAAAATTTG